AGGCCGCTCATTGGCCACTCACACCTTCCCCCAGCTGATTCGCCTGCACCTACCACGCCATAAGCCTCCACTGTGCTGTTACCACACCATCATTACTTAATTGGCCAATTATACTTCATATTTTTTTGTGCAAATATGCAGAAAATTAAGTGATAAAAGTTTTTAAATGTTGTCATGATATTTGAATGAACAGTGATACTGTATTAGAGGAATTTTTAATGGCAGGTAAAATAGCAACTTGGGGAAATGTTGAGGAAGGTGCAGTATATCTAGGTACTTTTGCACAAAAGCATGTTTGTTGTCGTGACTTAGCAATTGAGCAAATCACCTCTCAGTAACAGCTCATGAATGGATTGATGAATAAGTTCTGCATGATAGAACAAATTTGAGGAATCCAATGTTACTAATTATTGTTACCAATGTTGTGCTTTCAGCTCACACTATTTATCATTGGCTTAAATTTCACTGGCAATGTAATGTACTTGTGTATCATTCTTACTCTATGCACACTGTGGTAGGCATATAGTCATAAGATGTAGTCAAATTCATAGATTTTTTCTTATTTTCATATAAATATTTTCATATATGTGTGGGTGTGTGTGTGTGTGTGTGTGTGTGTGTGTGTGTGTGTGTGTGTGTGTGTGTGTGTGTGTGTGTGTGTGTGTATATGTGTGTGTGTGTGTTTGTTTCATACCAAGAAACCTAGATGTTTTTACAAATGTAAAATATCTGAAGTTAAGGGACAAAGAATTTCCATGGCTGCAGCATATTTCTTATAAAATTAGCTGAGTTTGTGTTCTATTATCCACTGTATAATGTACATTGTATAATATACAGTGTACATTATTTGCAAATTTTTAGACAATCACAATATATTTTTGTGTGTATGTATTACAAATATAGAGCATACATAAGCAAACATAATAAAAGAACAAGTTATTTTCGGTATTCTATTTTAAATGTATAGAACTTCATACATTTAATTAAATATTGATAATGACATAATTTTATTTTCTAATGTTTGAGAAAGTGTAAAATAATTTGGGTTAATGAAGAAACTTACCAAAAAATTATCTAACTTTAGGAGTGTATATAAATATTATGAGGAACGACGATATCACACGTTCCCAACATTTTCAAATTAATGAATTGTTCCAAAAAACTATAATTGATGAATTACTATATTATAAGAAGTTTTATAAACTGTGCAAACCAATATATCTTGGCTGATAGGTAGAGCCGAACAAGATAAGGCATTTTTAAGTATAGGGAGGAATATAAAACTTGTTTGGGTACACAGAGCTCACATCCTGTTTGTCAGTATTATGGTCAAGAGATGCCACCTTAAAAAAAATTGTCTGCATCCTTCCTGACTGTAAGAGGCTCAGTACTGCTAGAGTGACCAAGGCTGGTGTATGCAACAGCACAACAGTGTAGGTCCGGGCCACACCACCACTAAATAATGATGAATAAAATATCTAACTGTAATTATTTTGTGATAAGTCTCATAGATGATCCTGACTGTAATAAAGCTATGCTCAAGGTTCAGATATCAGTGAACACAATGCCAATTATGACGTTCACAGCAGGAGGCAGATATTCACAGCACACAGCTGATGTTTTGTGCATCATACAAAAGGACCTCAGGTTCCTTTACAAACTAATCTTGTGGAAAATTATTCATATTCCTAATCTAGTAATAGAAATCTGATGATAATAGCAGTGTTGTGGCCACCTAGCTAGACTTAAAGATGTGCATAGTATACTGAAGGTATAGTATTCTGTTGTGTCTTGTGAGGTCGTCTGCTGGCATCGTTTGTTGGTAGCATCCCAACAAACACACACCGAAACTACGACGTTAGTACAACGTTCGAACAAGTTTTAACACCTCCTAACGAGTTATAGCAACCAATATAGCAAGTTGTAACAACGTTCTAATACGTCATAAACACGTTAAACCAAGATGTAACAACTTTATTACAAGTTGTAACAAGCGGAAAATAGAGACAGTTACGGTTTGTGTTTCCAGGGATGTGACTCTGTACTGTGCTAAGATTATAAGACCACGCCCACCATAATTACTTGGTGGTTCATTATGTCTTATAAAGATATACAGATATCTTATAAAGATATACCTATGCAGTACTGTATTTGACGTGTGTATTTAGTGTAAGAACAGCAAAAACTGTTATTGACAGCCCAGTGCATCATTGCACTTGAAAAATAAGGTAATATCGATAGAAATATGAAGAAAGTAAAATAGGTTCATTGCATGTACCAACAACTTAGTACCAGATGTGTGTGGTGCCAGGCTGACCTTTGATCCTGGTTATGAGATTATAATGGCAAAAACACTGGCTTTTATTGTTCTAATAACATAATATGTGTCACTAAAAAATTAACTATATATTTTAGCGTAGTAATGTTCATACATTTAATTATATAAATTCTTTAATTACACACTATTGAATAATATTACTGCAAAAAACTTGATAAAAAGAATTCAGAGAAATTTTAATAATTAAGTAAAAATATCTTCTCTTGAGATCTTGAGATGATTTCGGGGCTTTAGTGTCCCCGCGGCCCGGTCCTCGACCAGGCCTCCACCCCCAGGAAGCAGCCCGTGACAGCTGACTAACACCTAGATACCTATTTTACTGCTAGGTAACAGGGGCATAGGGTGAAAGAAACTCTGCCCATTGTTTCGTGCCGGCGCCCGGGATCGAACCCGGGACCACAGGATCACAAGTCCAGCGTGCTGTCCGCTCGGCCGACCGGCTTCCCGGCCAATCTTAGCGGGAACTCCGGACCCACGGAGCCGTCAGGGCAAGAGCCAGAGGGGGGGGGGGGGACTAATCTCACAGAGACCATCAAGGGGACTTCCTTGCTCCATCACAGACAAAATTTTGTTTCGTTTCCAATGATCATTTTGACAATATAGAATTGTCAAAATTGGGGGGCAGGAATAATTTGTTATGGGCAACACATGATTGTTTTATTAAATGGGTGTGCAGTACACAGGTGAAGTAATCAGCAGTACACAGGTGAAGTAATCAGCAGTACACAGGTGAAGTAATCATAGCCATCCCGCCAAACACACCGAAACTACGACGTTGGTACAACGTTCGAACAAGTTTTAACACCTAACCAGTTATAGCAACCAATATAGCAAGTTGTAATAACGTTCTAATACGTCATAAACACGTTAAGCCAAGATGGAACAACTATATTACAAGTTGTAACAAGCGGAAAATAGAGACAGTTACGGTTTGTGTTTCCAGGTAAGGGATAGATGTGTGAAATCTTGTCAATTTCTGGGATATATAAGCTGAACGCATTTCTCTTACATTTTATAGTGATAAACATCATATGAAGTAAGCCATACTTTAATCCAGTGAACTCTTAAGAACATATGAATTAAGCAGCACTTTAAGGGTTAAGGTTCAAAATGTAGGTTCAGTACTGTATATTTTCATGTTAGGAAGTAGATGTCTATAGCTTCTATATGGGGGGAATAACCTATGCTTTCCTTGTTACTGCACTTGTAACAAGGAAATAGATGCTCATAGATGATAACCCATTCCAATATTATGTGAATATAAGTTGGATTAACAGCTACTGACTAGACAAATAGACAGTAGAAGTACATGAAATATATAAATGATAGTTTTACCTTTCAGTTAGGCTGCGTGAATGCCGACATCTCTGCATGAAACTGTGTGTTTTGTTTGGGAGGTGTTAGCGTGAGTGGCTCATACACTGTTCCATCCTCGTTGGTTTGTGCCTTTTCTCCAGCACTGGTTGGTTTTGCACCACCTCTCTCCAGCACTAGCTGATGTGTAGCACCATTGTAATGCATCGTGTCTCTCATATAATTGGCATAATGCAGTAGTAATCTGGTATCATCATTGTAATGCAGCGCTAATTATTCTGCACCACCTGTTTCACTCATTGTGTTCATCTTGTATGCCATTAGAGTATAACAATGTTAACCTGTTGATCTTCTTGCAGGATCATAATTTACGACAAAGGCTCTCAAAATTCACTGCCAGCTTTTAATTAAAAATTAAGGTTTATCTTGCACTGTCTTCATTATAAATATTTGTATTATGTTAAGTAATGTTAGAACAACGCTTGAAAGCTGGTTGAGCCCTCAACCATTTAAGCTTCCACGCACATTTATTCTTGATTAATTTCATCAGTCGCATAGATTTAGATGGCTTGCATGATCATGGCATTAGACCTTGTCCATCAGCCTTAGCATCATCCTGGAGCTTTATTTATTTACAGACGGAACGAAAGCGGCCTGGTGGTCCTGCGGGCTCAGACGGCAGTGCTTGTGGTGGCATTGGGGATGTCCCTCCTAGCAACAGAAATTCACATGAAATGATGTCTTGCGCCAACTGCGGCAACTCGCAGTGCTCCCACGCCAATGCGCCTAACAACTGTCCCAACGGAGAGGTACGACATTTGACATCCTTTACTAACACTGATGCTTCCAGGCCCTTCGCACCAGTGACAGGTATGACACATATACTCCCTCACTAATGTTGACATTGCCTGGGTACCTAGCAGGAAGTGATAGTTACAGCACTAGATATCCCTCACACACACACACTGATGTTGCCTGGGTACCTAGCAGGAAGTGATAGTTACAACACAAGATATCACACACACACACACTGATGTTGCCTGGGTACCTAGCAGGAAGTGATAGTTACAACACAAGATATCCCTCACACACACACTGATGTTGCCTGGGTACCTAGCAGGAAGTGATAGTTACAGCACTAGATATCCCTCACACACACTGATGTTGCCTGGGTACCTAGCAGGAAGTGATAGTTACAGCACTAGATATCCCTCACACCGTTTAAATGAGAGCAGAAATGAAGGTAAAATCAATTTTTTTTTCTTCAAAGTTATAGGGGTAGGCAGACCAGTAAAATGGTACAAAAATGCCCACCAATAAAATCCCTAGAGAAAGGGGTATTGACTAGTAAGGAATGGGGGAACATGTGCCTGATAATTGTATACACCAATGCAGATAGAGTGAGATCAAAGATACTGGAGTTAAGTGATGTAATACAGCTGCAGACACCAGACATTGTTGCACTCACGGAGACGAAACTTGAAGATGATATTTTAAATAAGCTCATATTCCCAAGGGGCTACTCAGTTTGGAGACGGGACAAAAAAATTACGAAAGGCGGTGGCGTTGCTGTGCTGGTGAAAGAACACCTAAAGGTAAACGAAATTATGACTGCCAATCCACGAGAAGTTGACGTAATAGCACTGGAGATCTGCACTCAGGATGATAAGCTAATGATCATAAATGCATATAGTCCACCACCAAGCAACACATGGTCAAAGGAGGAGCTGCATAATAAACGAGAGGGTCTTATAACAATAATGAGAGAGCTCAGTGAGAGCTGATAAAAATAGATCACGACTGTTGGTAGTCGGCGACTTCAACTTGAAATCAATAGACTGGGAAGCATATGAAGCTTGAACAGAGGACTTTTGGACCTGTAGATTCGTAGATCTCATCCTAGAAACATTCATGTTTCAACATTTTAAACAAGCTACAAGCTTGTATGAGGTTGTAGCTTGTATAAGCTTGTAGCTTCCCTCATCCAAGCTTAAAATGAGGAAAGCTACAAGCTTCCCTCATTTTAAACAAAGATGAGGGAAGGGGATGTTCCCTCCATGCTAGATTTAATATTTATCAGGAAAGAGGAAGAGATATTTGACATTCAGTACCTTCCTCCCTTGAGTAAAAGTGACCATGTCTTTTTAGGAATAAAGTTTGCAAAGCATTATAATCTGGAAGAAAATGAGATTGAAGCAGTTGAAAAACCTGACTTTAGGAGTGGTCATTATGAGGAACTCAGACATTTCTTTAAGGAATTTGACTGGAAAGACTTGTTGTTAGGACATGAAGTAAATGAGATTTATGTCAGGTTTTGTGAAATATATGATAAAGGCACAACAAAATTTATACTAAAACAGAGATGCAGAACTAGGAAACAGGATTGGTTTAACAGAAATTGCGAGAAGGCCAGAGACCAAAAGACACAAAAAAGGAATCAATACAGGAAGAGGCCGAACCCCCAAACATACCAGCGATACAAAGATGCGAGAAACAACTACACGGAAGTGAGGAGAGAGGCAGAAAGAAAATTTGAAAAAGATATTATGGACAAATGTAAAACAGAACCAGGCTTATTCTATAAATTCATAAAAACAAATTGCAGGTAAAAAAAAATATTCAGAGGATGAAAATGGGAAACAGATTCACGGAAAATGAAAGGAAATGTGTGTGAAACATTAAATGGAAAATTTCAAAGTGTGTTTATACAAAATGAGATCTTCCGGGAACCAGACACAATAAGAATTCCAGAGAACAACATAGAGCGTATAGAGGTGTCTAGAGATGAAGTGGAAAAAATGCTCAAGGAGCTAAGTAAGAACAAACCAGTTGGTCCAGATGGAGTTTCACGATGGTTTCTGAGAGAATGTGCACCAGAGTTCAGCATTCCACTTTAACTGATTTTTCAGGCATCCCTGTGTACAGGAGTCGTAGCTGATGTGTGGAAAAAGATTAACATAGTTCCAATCTACAAAAGTGGAAGCAGGGAAGACCCCCTTAATTATAGACCGGTATCATTACAAGTGTAATAGTCAAAATATTGGAAAAATAATTAAAACTAAATGGGTAGAACACCTGGAGAAAAATTATATAATATCACACAGACAGTATGGTTTTCGATCTTTAAGATCCTGTGTAACGAATTTACTCAGTTTCTATGATCGAGCCAAAGAGATTTTACAGGAAGGAGATGGTTGGGTTGACTGCATCTATCTGGACCTAAAAAAGGCTTTTGACATTGTTCCACATAAGAAGTTGTTCTGGAAACTGGAACATATTTGAGAGGTGACAGGTAAGCTGCTAACATGGATTAAAAATTTTCCTAACTGATAGAAAAATGAGGGCAGTAATCAGAGGCAATGTATCAGACTGGAGGAATGTCACAAGTGGAGTACCACAGGGTTCAGTTTTTGCACCAGTGATGTTCATTGTCTACATAAACGATCTACAAGATGGAATACAGAATTATATGAACACGTTTGCTGATGATGCTAAGATAATAGGGAAGATAAGAAACTTAGATGATTGTCATGCCCTTCAAGAAGACCTGGACAAAATAAATATATGGAGCACCACTTGGCAAATGGAATTTAATGTGAATAAATGCCATGTTATGGAGTGTGTAATTGGAGAACATAGACCCCACACAACATATATATTATGTGAGAAGTCTTTTAAGAATTCTGACAAAGAAAGAGATCTACGGAGGGTTCTAGATAGGAAACTGTCACCTGAGGACCTCATTAAGAACATTTTGCGAGGAGCCCATGCTACACTTTCTAACTTCAGTATTGCTTTTAAATACTGTACATGGATAGAGAAATACTAAAAAAATTGTTCACGACTTTTGTTAGACCAAAGCTGGAATATGCAGCGGTTGTGTGGTGCCCATATCTTAAGAAGCACATCAACAAACTGGGAAAGGTGCAAAGACATGCCACTAAGTGGCTCCCAGAACTGAAGGACAAGAGCTACGAGGAGAGGTTAGAGGCATTAAATATGCAAAAACTAGAAGATAAAAGAAAAAGAGGCGATATGATCACTGCGTACTAAATAGTAACAGGAATCGATGAAATTGATAGGGGACGAATTCCTGAGACCCGGAACGTCAAGAACAAGAGGTCATTGATTTAAACTAACGAAAAAAAGCTGCCGGAGAAATATAAGAAAAATCACTTTTGTAAACAGAGTGGTAGACGGTTGGAACAAGTTAGGGGAGAAGGTGGTGGAGGCCAAGACCGTCAGTAGTTTCAAAGCTTGACAATATGACAAAGAGTGCTGGGAAGACGGGACACCACGAGCGTAGCTCTCATCCTGTAACTACACTTAGGTAATTACACTTAGGTAATTACTCACACTGATGTTGCCTGGTTACCTAGCAGGAAGTGATATGTACAGCACAAGACATTCCTCAAGAACATGTAATGTTGGTTGGGTCTCTAGAAAGAAAATTTAACTTGAAAATGCCACTATCACAACCATTTAATTGTCCATAACTATTAGTTATCATCATCATTTGTGTTCATACATTACTTAAAATAACATTTTCTTCATATCATTCAATTTTGCTAATTAATTCATCTCCCTCATTCCTAGTTCACAAGGTCACATTGATATTAATTTACCATTGCAATACTTGATTTCAATTGTTCTAGCTTAAGATTGTTGCCATTAATGCATAATTATCATCAACTTCCATAGAATAATCAAAATGGTTATCTCAACTGAATTGTAAATTATTAACCTTTGGTGTACACTATAATCCAAGGTGCCACGCTGCAATGTCTCATCTATGATATCTGCACCTAGGAATCCTCAACTTGAAACTGCCTCACTTATGATTATTTAGCACACATACATGATGAGTAATCCCCAGACAACGTGCAGCATCTTTATTTAAATCCTTGAACATAATTAATATAATACTACTACACACACTAATGTTTTCTATATCTTCAAAACTCGTCAGTGCAATACTGATCCTAAATTCAGACGCTTCTTAGAGGTCTGCATCAAAAGCTATAGACACCATACAAATGTCTATCTGATGTTTCAAAGCAAAAATGCCCTGCAGATAAACGGTCCTAAATTGGCCTGATTTAATTATTCAAGTACTTGAAGAAAGTATTTTGTAATATAAAGACTTTTCCTCCTCATTGCAAGCATTTCCCAGGATCCATCTCTTTTAATTTAATTTGCTGGAAAAGATGTACAGTGGCTATCTTGAGGTTATCTTGAGATGATTCTGGGGCTTAGCATCCCTGAGGCCCAGTCCTCGACCAGGCTTCCTCTTTGTTACACACCCCTAGGAAGCAGCCAGTAGCAGCTGTCTAACTCCCAGGTACCTATTTACTGCTACTGGAACAGGTAAATCAGGGTAAAAGAAACATTGACCATTTGTTTCCTCCTCCACCGGGAATCGAACCCGGAACCTGAGGACTACGAATCAGAAGCGCTGTCCACTCAGCTGTCAGGCCTGCCCTCCGTTTACGAATTTAATCTATTCCCAGAGACGGTTCGTAACCCGAAAATTCGCAATCCGAAACTAATTTTCCCATAAGAAATAATGTAAATTGAATTAATCCTTTCCACACTCCCAAAAATGTTAACTTCAAAATACATTTCATTCCTAATAAACACAAATATTTAGTACTATAGTATGTACATAGCTTACCTTTATTGATGACTCTTGTTGGCATATGGAAGACGGTGATGAGGTGGGGGGGAGGTGGAGAGGGGTTAGTGATTGGAAGGGGAGTCCCCTTCCATTATAACATCAGGCAGTGATGACTTCTCTGGGTACTCTCTCTCTCTCCTACTTTGCCTTCATATCACTAGGATCTGGTTGTGGCTCACTGCTTTTTTTCTCACTAAAACCTTTCCATGGAGACTTGTTGTTCCCTGTGTTGTAACACTTGTCCGTAGTGAGGCATCACATTGTCATTAAAAAAGTAATTAAGGCAACGGCTTACGTCAGCTTGCTGTGGGCGAGTCTTTTCAACAAAAGTTTGCATTTCTTCCCATATTCAACACCACTTCTTAATTGTTGAGGAAGGGACAATAGTAAGAGTTCTTCGGTGGTCAGTTCTTCTCTGTTCCTCCACCAACTCATAACACACAACACTCACAACACTGTGAATGTCACTTCTTTTTCTAAATTTCTCAAACCATTCCCTGCTCGCTTTAAACTCTTTCGTATCTGTATCACTCGTTCCAGGGGTTTTCTTTATAAGATCTTCGTGCAATAGTTTTGTTTTTTCACAAATGATGGCCTTTGATATACTATCACTTGCTAACTCCTTGTTGTGTATCCAAATTAATAACAACTTTTCAATATTCTCAAGTGTTTGTGTTCTTTGTTATATGATTGTTGATATGCCTTTAGCTACTTTAGCACTCACAATGTCCTTTATTTTAGCAATTACAGTACATATTGTTGACATAGATTTGTTGTACTGCCTAGCTGGTTCAGCAACCCGTGTACATATTCATGTTTATGAATGATCTCTTGTTTTTCCTCGTCGGTCATTCTCACATGTGTTTTCGTAGGTTGAACCTTGCCACTGACTTTCTTGGGACCCATGGCATGATATATAATAATTACTTTTATGTTCAAAACCCCAAAAAGCAGAAAAACACTGAAATTCTTTACAAGGAATTCCAGCGCAATCATCACTAAGCGGAAGGCACTGGTAAACTGAAGCGTGGGCGACCGTGCCACCATGCGCTAGGTCGCCCATACGCGTATCAACAAACTACGTAACTCGAGGCAAAGCTCGTAACCCGATTCAAATTTTACAAAGACATTGGGCTCGTAAACCGAAAATGTTGAAAAGATGGGCATTTGTAAGCCGAAGTGTCCTTGTACTTTTGATAAGTTATATCTTGAAATTAATTACAAATATATTGAAATGGAAATACAAATGTGAACAGGTATTAGTTGCATTCTTATGAAGGTCTTAATCTCCTGAAACACTCAGTAATCTTTCAGAGTTTTAAAGCCATATTCTGTAATATATTGGAACTACAGAAAGTATTTTGCAATTCTAACTACTTCAGTTTAAGTTTATTGGCTGCCACGAGAGCCTTTTAGAGTAGTGATTCATATGATACAGCATATACTTTAGAAAGAGCGTCAGCAGTAACCCAAGTCTTTTGTATCTTTTTCAGGAAGTTACTGTGACAGTGAGTACATTAATACCTTTAGTTATTCATGTTGACCTTACATAAGTGTTCCTCATAGTTGTGCATCTCCAGTGGGAGAGCTTCAGTGTCTCCCTTACCTTTTTTTACAACGCTTGCACCCACTCAGCTCCCTCACCTATTCTTAGCACACTTTCACTCAGCTCCCTCACCTATTCTTAGCACACTTTCACTCAGCTCCCTCACCTATTCTTAGCACACTTTCACTCAGCTCCCTCACCTATTCTTAGCCCACTTTCACTCAGCTTCCCCACCTACTTTTAGTGGTAGTAAGTGTCTTGCTCATACTTAGCTCCTTCGGTTTAATCCAGCTCCCTCCCAAATCTTCACGAAGCTCTTCCAAAAACTTTTGTCACTCCCTCTCATACTTTAAATCATTTCTCCCTCACCCTATTCCTGTAGAAAATTTTGTTAACACCAGGACTAATTAAGTTGACCATTCAGACCCAGGGCAGCTGTTCAGGGAAATTATGAATGTTGTAATGATAAGAAAACAAACTGATGCTGGTCCCTAAGCACTGGTTACCTCTTAAGATGTCCTTTGCCCCCCTGCCAGATTTAGTGAATTTATTTATCATGTTTATGCGGTAACTGCACTAGTTTGTTTATCACCTGCATGATTACCGGTTCACTTTATATAACATTAGCGCATACAGAAGATATTGTCAATAATAATGTACATATATATCAATTTCAGTTTTATAACAAGGTTGTTAATCATCGCAGATCTCCACATTATCGCCTGTCAGTAGTTATTACCGCTTAATTGACATGCCGCACCTTCATTACAGGAAACAGCAGAAGTCAGTCAGGTTGAGTACACTTTCAAGGTAATGATTCCCTCCGTTTTCTTTTGTTGACTTTCATGTTGTATAATGTATTTATGGGGAAAAGGGATAAGCAGTCTAATATTTTACATTTTAAATATAATTTCTGCTCATATGAAAAGTTCTGGTAAGATAGTAAGTAGGCCTACTGTAGTAGAACACTATTTTAAATAATTTTATAAGTATTGCTTATCCTTTAACCACTGCATTAAAATATGACGACCCCTTTCCCCCCCCCCTCCCCACTGGTGCGCCGAAAATAAATTCTTTCCAAAAAATTATTTTATCTTCTTATCTTGTTAAAATGCAGTCTCTGATAACGGAAAACTAAACAAAAATATTGTATGTGACATACTCTGGCCGTGATGGAGCTGGGAAGTTGAGCAAATTATGAGCGCTGAGCGATGGCGTGCGCCCCAGTGGGGCGGCAGTTGCCACGAATATAATATTTCACAATTATTTTGATGTTTCTCATTCGTTTCCTCTCTGGGTTTTTGCTGTAATATTATTCAAAAGTGTAGAGTTTATATAGTTCAATGTGTGGAACATCGCTATGCTCAAAATTATGGGACTGATATATGTGACAAATATATTATATTCTACGATCAATCAAACAGTCTTTTTCCTGTTATTACACTATATATACACAAAGATTGTATATACCCATCTACATATGTATTCACCATAACAAACCACTAAGTTGGTATGGTGAACCCCAAAACACAAGAGTGGGCTGCTACACCCAGCCAGCCCTTCCTCACTCACTCCCTCAACACCAGCTCACCAATATTCCTTCTCCCACAATACTGTTTGTGGCTTTATTACACAATATACACATATTATATATAAGTATCTGCATGTTTTGTTCACCATAAGTGTACAACTAAGCTGGTATGGTGTCCAAACAACACAGTGGCAACACAAAACTGCATGACAAGTCACACAGTAGCCACCAGATGACACTAACTCTCCCTCCTCCTCACCAAAATTACTCCTTCCACTATACTATGCGCATCGCTAGTTCCCACCACAAAGCTGCTATTACCAGAATCGTGGCCACTGAATCCTGTAAATTAATCATTTTCCACAAGTTTATTTTGTAAAGGAACATGAGAAATCGTTTGAAGATTCTTAGATGGACGAAATAATAGCAGTGTGCTATGGCTACCTGTGTAGCGCTGTGAACATCCTGAATAGCATTGATTCACTGATTCACTGATATCTGGACATTATACACAGTGTTTATCACAGTCAGGCTCTTCCCTAATACTATCATAGCTAAATAATACCAGTTACATATGTATTTTGCCATTTTTAGGCAATGCTGTGAGGTCAGAAGCTGAACAGCAGTGCTGTTAGCTAATGCTGCATGCGTCAGCCTTGGTTGCTTATTCAGAAGTGAGGCTCTCACACCCGGGAATGTTGCCCACGATTTAACCTACAAGCGCTCTAAGGCGCCTTGCGTACCACCGATCGAGCGTGTCAAGGAGCACAGTCCATCAGTTAACCCCTGGGCTGCTCTTCCGATTTTCGCCTGCAACACGCCCAGGCGCAAGAAAAAAGTTAAAAACAAAAATTATTTCGTCTTATAAAAGTGTTCATTTGTGTTTCTTGATCACTGGAAAATTTTTTTTTTACTTACAATGTTGTAAATGGCCCCCCCCCCCCCGACACACACACACTACACTTTCAAACTTCAGAATTCCTTTAAATACATAGATGGCGAAATACTAAAGAAATTCACGACTTTTGGTAGACCAAAGCTGGAATATGCAACGGTTGCATGGTGCCCATATCTAAAGAAGCACACCAACATACTGTGGTCCTGGGTTCGATCCCAGGCGCCGGCGAGAAACAATGGGCAAAGTTTCTTTCACCCTATGCTACTGTTACCTAGCAGTAAAATACGTACCTGGGTGTTAGTCAGCTGTCACGGGTTGCTTCCTGGGGGTGGAGGCCTGGTCGAGGACCGAGCCGCGGGGACACTAAAAAGCCCCAAAATCATCTCAAGATAACCTCAAGATGAGGGTCGTGTGTCTGGCCCTTCCTTTCCGTGGTGTATTTTTCCCAGCAAATGTGGTGGTTTGGGCTACCCCCCCTCCCCCTGGGTTTGTTTCATTTGGGTTCTTCAGTTGCGTTCTTCAGTTTTTCTTCCTCTCGGGTTTCCCCTGTGAAGGGTCTGGAGGCCCTTGGTGTTTTCCTCCTGTACGACCCAGAATTTGCCCAGCTTGACCCGGCATCTTTTGCGTTCGAGTCGTCATCCCCATTTTGGGTGCGTTATGGGGTTCCTGGGTCTTCCTGGCTTGCAGACGGTTTTTCTTCTTGGGGCATGACATTGATTTTGGTGGTCGTGCCAGAGCTGCAGCTTCTGTTAGTCAAGGTGGGCCTTTGCTACCTGCTTCTGTGTCAGTGGCTTCTCTGGGGTATTTTCGCCTGGTCGGTGTATTGCTCGCTCTGCTCGCTGGTCAGATTCTCAGATGGGGCTTTGGCCCCTTCGTAGGTTAACCCATCAGGTCATCTTGGAGTGGGTGAGCCTGAGCGGGATCGGAACTACCTCGTCCATTAGGTCCGTTTTTCACTTGTTCCGATGTCGTCACAGGACTGTGGGGCTCTTTGGTTCTTCTGGACTGGTCCCATCTGCACCGTTGGATTCCTTGACTCTCCTTTTAGGTGACCTCTCTGTCCCAGACCCGGCTTCTTTTGGAGCCAGGTTGATGGAGTGGTGTCTCTGGCTCTCTGGGATGCAGATTGGCACCTCCTGCTTCATCCTGGTTCAGGGACTGATTAGATTTCGTGGTGAGACGGCATGCTTCTTGTTTTCATTGCCTCCCTTTTTGGCCTACCTCAATGACTGGTTGGTGTGGGCTCCCAGCCAGTCTGCTTGTCTGCTCGCCATAGGGGTGGTTCTTTCCCAGCTTCCCGGGTTTGGGTTCCAGGTGAACTGGGGGAAGTCCCATCTGGTTCCACTCTGGGATTGGTCCTGGCTGGGCCTTGTATAAGTCAGACCGCTTCCCGTGTCCCTCCCTCCTGTGGTGTTGTGGCTACTGCACTCTCACCTTCCGCTGTTCCTAGTAGGAGGGGGGGGGGGGAGTGTCCTGGGTCACTTGGCAGTTGCTCGAGCAGGTGAGGGAGTCTGCACTTCGCTGGGCTGGCTTTCCCGTCGGGTCGGGTTTTAGTGCCTGTTCTAGTTCATTCAGGGGCTTTCCGTCCGCCTCTCTTGCGACCACTGGGTTCGAACCCAGTGGGTTCGTTGCTCGTCGCCAGCTTCCTCTTCAGGGCTTTCAGGGCTTGGTGCCTGGGCACCTCCACGAGCCCTCGCTCATTGTGTTCCCGGCCACCTTCTTTCTCAGCTGAAGTTTTGTGACCCGTGCTCACTAGGCCGTGGGTTCCGTCCTTCCATAGGGCTCACAGCGCGGTGCAGAAGTTTGCGGTGGTCTGGCTTTCGCTGAGGGGGGGGGGCGGTTCAGGTTACACAGGACTTTACAGTTAGGCTCCCTTCAGACTGTGCTCCGGTGATTTATTGTCTGAACCGTGGGGGCTCCCGTCAATCCTTGGCTCTTTGGGGCTGGTCTCTTCGAATGACTCATCTGCTGGTTTCTTGGGATTTAGCTCTCTGTGCAGTTCACATCTGGGGTGTGTCCAACATCCTGGTGGAAGGCCTGTTCCACTTCTTTTCCCTGTCCATGGAATGGACGGTCGTCACCGACTCCTTCAGTTGGCTCTGCCAGTCGGACGGGCCCCACCCGAAGGTGGAACTCTTCGCATAAGCGTGGTTCCGGAGTTTCTCTGAGTTATGAGGCGCTCTTCCCCAGCTGCAGAGCTGTCGCGTTGCACGCTCTTTGGCAGGAGTGGTCGAGGTGGGGTTCCCTGTACCTCTTGTCCCCCCCCCCCCCCAGTCCAGTTGTTGCCTCGGGTTCCGGCTTGGTTGGAATCATCTCGTGGGAGAGTCATCCTTGTAGCCCGTTGTGGCCAGCCCAGCCTTTGTTTCAGGGGTTGTTTGCTCGGTGTCCGAACCCGGGGTGTTTTCCGCGGCTTCGCCTCTTCCAGCAGATCGGGCCAGTGTGGTACATGGCTGGGGTCGACATTGTCCTGGGTTGACATTTTGGCACGGGGGATTTGGAGGTCGAACAGACCAGTTCGGAGTTCGACCAGACGGCCAGGTCGAACTCCTGGCCGTCTGTTATTTGGTAAAGGTTCCTGGTCCCAGTCGTTCGGGTGTGACTTTGGGTCGCAACCAGTAGTCTCGTCCTAGTGCTGGTCCTCGCGGTGCGGCCGCCTCCCAGGTAAGTCCCTCTTTTTACTAATCTGTGGTTATGTAGCTTTAGGGAGTCAGAGGGGCTCCCACACAAAATCAGCATTGAATGTAATGAAATGCCATTTTCTGGGTGAGTCCTGGAGTCAACCTGGCACCCTCCCTCCAGTCGGCGGTTTTGTTTTGCTTTTGATGCTTAACATCCGAACTGAGGTTGGATAGTCGGCACGGTGGGTCTGGGGCTTCCCCCTTCCCCTCCCGCGGGGAGGGGTCTACGCAGACGAGCGGCACGGCGGCGTGGTGTGACGTGATTTGTTATGCCTACCTTATTCTTCTTCCTTTCTTGGCCAAATATCCCCAGTTTGCTAACTGTAGGTAGTAACTAAGTGATTGTAACCTATCCACCGCTGCCCACTGGATGGGGGGCGGTGTGCAGGACAAACATATAAATTTTGACACTAGCTCTCCACATATGTCAGTTGCTTAATTTAGAACCTGTACTTGAGGTCGATCTCGAACCCATTGTTGATGTGATGACTTATATTGAATTTTGTAACTAGCTCATCAAGATTGTAACTTGCTTAGCTAAATGAATTGTGGGGTTCAGTCCCTGAGCCCATTATGTGCCTCTGTAACCCTTTCCACTACCGCCCACAAGATGGGTATGGGGTGCATAATAAATGAACTAAACTAAACTAACTACCTTTCTTGGTGTCTAACCCCAGTCGATGGCAGATAAGGAAAAACCCCATCCACAGGGGGGTGTTTCCAGGGCCATTGCTTCATGTGCCTTTCTGAGGGGGCCAGGTTCCGGCTCGTGGTTCCCAGTAGGCTGATTTCCATTGACTAAAGCCCTGGTCTAATGTATCGCATATTAGCCCAGTACATTAGTCCCAATTTCCGGGGCTCACCCAGAAAATGTTGTTTCATTACATTCAACGCTGGTTATTTATGAGGCTCTGGTTTTGCTCTCTCTCGCCTCCATTTGTTGTGTGAGAGCTTCTTGCACTCCTTTAGCATCTAGATTTTTTGTTACTTCGGCCCTGGGGTGATTTTTTTTATCTGCAGCAAGGTCCTTCTTTTTTTGGCAAAGAATGTGTTCGTTGGTTTCCAGAGGGATTCTTTCGTGGTTAATGCTTTGTTGGTTCGGCCTGGGGTGCTTGTCCTGTGGCAGTTATATGCCACTACCTTCGTGTCACTGCTTCTGCTTCGGAGGGTTTCTTGTGGGTTGATTCGGCTCCCTGGTCCCCTGTTCCAAGGCTTGTCTGTCTCAGGGTCATCCACAGTGGTATTCCATCTAGCCAGCCTGTTGTCTTCCCTCATGCCCTTGCTGATTAGTAAGTTTACCACTATTTTGGCTGTGTTGTCAATTTGTCTTGGTCCAGTATTTGCGCACAAGGGGTTTAGTGATCGTTCAGGATCCTGGCGGCGTGATATCTTGTACGGTATGTTTCTCCTTATCAGCCTTGGGTAGAGTGTCACGGCCCATGGTTTCTTCTTCGTTGTGATACCTGCAGTGCTCCCTCCCTAGTTCTCCCTAGTTCTCCCTTGTTTTACGTTTCTGTTGGCAGGTAACTTCAGGGAGCCACAAGGAACTGGCCCCAGAAATCCAGCATTGAATGTAATTAAACGCCAATTTCTGGGTGAGCCCCAGTGGCTCCCTGACACTCTTCTTTCCCTAGGGAGTCAGGGGTCAGGGGTGGTTTTTACCATCATCATAGAACTGAGGGTGGAGCAGATGGCTGACCCAGTATGTCTCCCTCTTCCCCCAAAACAAGTAGGAGGGAGGGAGGGGGGGGGAACAATCATAAATTTTCAATCGTTTGTTTACGTTGTTGGGGGAGTTTTTTTTGGTGAGTTTGAGGCATTGATATTAATTTCTAACTAGTAGTGGTATGTTTTGTCTCGCTGACTTTGTGGGTAATTTCCCGGTGGTGGTGGACATGAGCCAAATTTACTGACAATTTTATCATACTGCCACTGTCTCTCTGCCTCTTTAGATGGGGCAAGGCTCTGGCTCGTGGTTCTCAGTAGGCCTAAAATAAATCTGCAACTGATGGCACCTAGAAGTATGGCACTGTATCAGCATCGTAGCTTCGGAGAGCCACTAGGGCTCACCCAGAAATTGGTGTTTCATTGGTGGGGCCTCTGTAGGCCTACCTACCTACAGAGGGCTGGTAGGCCTACAGAACTCCTCGGTATATACATCCTAGTAGATGAGAACGATCTCGGTGTATAGCTTCAGGGAGCCACTGGGATTCGCCCAGAAATTGGCGTTTCATTACATTCAACTCTTGGGTTTTTCTCTCTGCACACTTTTAAGAACTTATTTTGAATCTAAGAATTAAATTTTCATAATCAGACTCTATTTCAGCAGCATTATTTATCAAATTCTTGTATTAAATGGTAACTTAGTAACACACAATAGTGTTAAGGTTTTCAAATTCTTTTTTGTCAATGTTTATAATTTTGTAATAGTTCCGTAACAGCTTGTTGAACACGTGTGAATATGCACTAAGTACTGTACTATATTTTCTCATAGTTACATTTTGTTGCCTGCATTTAACTCTGCATTTTACAACATTCCTTGTTATTTCTCAAAACATTATTTGTAATGGTTAACATTATTTGAGACCTGCTATTACTGGTGTTCATTTCAAGTGAACAAGGTATTCACAGAGCACATTATAGGTGGCAGTCAATGTTTATTTGATCTATAACAAAATAGTCATTTTATCTTCAGAATCTCACTAAGGCATATTTTTTTGCAGCCACACAACAAGGCTCCTCCACACCCCATCCGAGTGGCCAAGTCGATTGATGTCATCTCTCGCGTTGTCTTCCCTCTTGGCTACTTCATCTTCCTATTCTATTTCTTCGCTACTTACAAGGGCTTTCAATGAGGCTTGACCCATTCCCTCCTCCCAACCATCATTATGGTTGTCCTCTCAAATCCCCAGCTGTGGATTTTGATGACCACTTTCTCACATCTCCCACCCATAGAGAAGTGCCCCTCCCTACAAGATGTAAAACATCCACCCGCAGCCTCATCTACAGTTGATCACTACATCTTTTCATGCATGTTCTTCACTCTTTAATTATTTATCTAGACTGCAAATTTTCAAGGCACATTATTTACACAAAAAATTTAATGCTCATGTAAAATGAAAGTATTATAAATCTTCACAACTTAAATTTTTTAAGAGCATGACTTGATGAAAAGAGGCTTATAAACTTTTTTAAGTAAGGTGTAAAATGTGGGGCACCTTCTTAACGATCAAAAGATCTCATTTGTAACATCATGTAAATATGACATTCTTAGTTGTTATACCTTTTGTAAGAAAATTCATTTCTGTTGTTATCGACTCCAATGATGTTTCTAAATATATGTTGAACACGACGAAAGGGCACTTGCATTTACAATATATGCCCATTAGCCTTCAGAATCGTAGGTTTTTTTTGTAGTGTATATTTGCATATTTCTATTTTCTTGTATATTCTGCATTCAAAGGGACATAGAGTTGTTGAACAAAATGACGGGGGAAGTTTTTGCTGGAGGACACTTTTGTATTTCAAATGGTTTTTTGGGAGGTGTAGTGACATCCTAGTATGATAGGTAAATATATTTTAGAAACTTAACTCTCATTTCAATGCATACTCTCTTTAATCACAGTTTTTTTTAATTCCATGGTCCTTTACACTGTTAGACATTCATAACTATGAGTACTATCCACAGTGACCATACCTGGTCCAATAACAACCTGAATGTTAGCACATAATAAGATTACTACTCCATGAATATAAGAACTCTATAATACTGTACCAACATATTGAAAGATAAGTCAGTTGGTGTTCAGTCTATATTCATTAATGCAAGTGAAACATATGATAAGGCAAGAAGGAATTCTTTAAGATAGAAGAATGTGCTCTTTTAGCTCCTTCAAGTGCCAGTTACCTCCTGTCTGCCTACCTCACAACACATAAGATGGACGCAAACACACACAATTAGGTAATTACATACACACACACACACACTCACACACACACACACACACACACACACACACACACACACACACACACACACACACACACACACACACACACACACACACACACACACACACACACACACACACACACACACACACACACACACACACACATACATATATATCGAGAGTACCACCTCTGGCTGGAAGAAGGAGACACTTAGCCTCGGAGGAAATCACACATAACACATTAGAGGGAATGTTTAGGTCCTCTCCAATGCAGTTTATGTGTACTTTTCTCCTACCACCCTCTTCTTTTAGTCTTTTGTTGTGCTTTATTAGATATTTAAAGGTTATAAAATTTACATTGGTTGAACAATTAGTGTTTAAAGGTTATGGATCTATTGGAGCTCCTCCGCTTCCGGACAGGAACCGAGGACGCATCAAGCATTTCCCCTCTGGATCTCCACACTGAGGCGCTGAAACAAAAAACTGGCAGCACTTAGGTCTCTGGTGATGTCATTGAGCCTGGAGCCCAGTTCCTTGAGAAATCCTAAGATACTCCCACCACACCGCAACCTGCTCTCACACAAGACAGCACATATGTATGACTTATTGCTTAGAGTCACTATTTCGCTTATAAATAAGTGCTTATGTGACATATTCCAAGCCATGTTTTTTTTTCAAGGCACTAACTTTTCCTCTCAGTTTTATTAAACAATAGAGATTTTATACAAAATTTGACAATATCCTGAGTTACTTTACAATTTACTTAAATATTTTAGTTTTGTTTTATTATTTTTATAAAACTGTAATATCACTATAGGTATAGGTTCAGTACTAATTGTAATATCTTAACATACTAAGAAGGTTAGGTTAGGTTGTGGTTTTCAATTCAACTTTTCAAGGTAAACTCAAATATTCACAATAAAGTAGTATGTCACATATTCACTTATTCATAAGCAAGACATTGACTAAAAGCAAGTGCGAGAACGGGCTGCCCACCCCAGGGGCCATGCATCTCAGACGCTATGGGAACAAAGGTGAATTGACCTTCCAAACACCTGTAATTGACTGAATTTGCGTTTCTCTGTTATTGACCGCCACACCTGCTTGATCGGCACCAAAGCGTATGTAGGTGTCAGCCAGGGTGGATGCACATCTGTAGTCCCACACCATCTGTTTGCCCCTTTTCCAGGGGTATATAGTGATACCATCAGGGCAAAGTGCGGGGTCATTTGGGTTTTGGCCTCCTAGGATGCAAGGTTCTATCTCTGCTGGGCACTGAAACGAAACAAGGCTTCTCTTGATGATGTCATTGACCTCGTTGTGTCTTGCAGCAAGGGCTGGCATGCGAGCCAAAGGGCTTGTGCTGAATGGGCTGAAAAAAAATACATACGTTCTCTTATTGCGAACAGATAAGAGAATCACCATCCCCCCCCCCCCTCCACACACACACACACACACACAACCCTGCCCCCTTCACAAGTGTTGCCTTGTCATGGTGACGGGGGTGGCTCCTGTATGCCTTTGTTGGGTTGGTATGGGTAGCTTTCCCTTCCCCCCTTCTCTTGCCTATTAGGGTAGTGTTGGGCAAAGATATCCACTGAGTATAAGACCATCTTCAGAGAGTCATCAGTCAATGACTCCGGTGAGAGGAGGATGGGGGTTTTTACACTGGTAAGGGTGAACACTTTTTTGGTCTTTGATATTTTCGCAGTTTAGATCAGAGGTTTCCCCTGCTGAGAAAAAGGAAGCGCCACTTCAGACAATCTAGCATGTCTTCCGCCATCTCTCACTACTGCCCTGGAGGGTGGTATTGCCTGGCTCTGAGATACATCCTCATAAATTTCAAATTTCTATGAATATTTCTGTTTCTACTTCATATTCTTGTGACTTGTGTGAGAGGTGACCAGGCACATCTAGAAGAATGGTTTCTCATTTCCAAGGGGAAGCGCCCTGCTGGTAACACACCTCCTACTGTATTGGTCTCTGACTCTTTACAGTCCCTGGTTTATCCTTATGGCAGTGGCTTCTGTATCACTGCTGAAAACTAGTTTGTTTCCTCACTGATTGTCACAGTGGCACCATGTATTTCTCTCACTATAGGGGGGCATGATGTTGATAATTTCAAAACAACTCTGTTCCAGTGCCTTGCATACTTGTTCCATGAAGTGTTTGGCCTACCAATTTGGACCAAATAGTTTGATCTTATGCTAACAGACATGCAATTGCTGATGGTCTTCAGCTGTATCATGTCCGGTCTGCTGGCTCGAACATTGCCTTCCGTCCCCCAGTGGTCCGGCACACGAGTCGTTGAAGTCCACTCTCAGCAACCCACTAAGCACCTTACTGCATTCCTATATGTTGTGAGGTTTCAGGTAGTTACCAAGACTATGGAGGAATACTAGCATTGGGACTATTGTTGTTTTGTCCCATATCCCTGTTGGGGACAGGTATCTCCAATAATTGTCATGACATCATCAAGGCTATCTTAGAGTTCCAAGGGCACTCCAGTGACCAGATATACATGTTCACATGATCCCTTTGTGGTAAGCATGCTAAGCCCACTCTGTATCATGAAGACTACTTTTGACAGTCGCACCCTCCGAACCTGAGGCATCCTTGAAGATATGTTTTGTCCAGGAGTATGTCTCCTCACCATTTCAGTGCAGCACAAGGACAACATCCCCTACTCAGAGGTGAGATGCCAACTATGAAGTCTATGACTCTTGAAGAACATCACTTACACAAACACTGCTCGTTAGGAACTTCAGACTTGCTCTTCTTCCGGTCCTCAGCTCTGGAATCGGTTGAGACCTAGTCTGGCCTGAGGCCTGATGCCTGATCTGGCCTGAGGCCTGATGCCTAATCTGGCCTGGTCTGATTGTCTTCCCCTTCTCCAACTGCCATCCCACTACAATACCCCGCCCCCCTCCCCCAACCACGAGCAGCCGGCCACAATTCCCTCCCCCGGCACCAGCGGCCATTCACAACCCCCTCTCCTGACCACCGGCGGCCCACCAATCCTCTTGTCAGCTTGTTGAAAATTTGGTGATTTCGCTTAATTGGATTCAATAATCCTCATATATGTAGCATTTTTATACCAAATTATTTGTAAGTGATTGTTTTATCAAATGCCATAGTGAAAAGGACACAGAAATCACAATAACGTGATGCATCAAATGAAGTAAGGGCCAAGAGGTAGAACGGGCCCTGTTGACAGAGCTCGAGTGCATGGGGGAAATTGTGTAAAATCCTGGTTTGTGTCTCGGAGAGGCTGCAGGATCCAAGTACGTTCAGTAGAACTTCTGGTTGCAATTCTTTTTTTTAACCATGTCGTAGCTCAGTCGATTAAGGCAGCGTCTGGGATGCTCTCGGACGTAGGTTCGACTCCTCGTCACGGCCCTTGTGGATTTGTTCACTGAAAAGGAGGAATTCCTAATAAATGGATTTTTTATGAATATTTATATCAAGACTGATACAGTTGGTTAGCTTATGGAAATCCTGGCCATTACGTCATATTTGCAGCCACCAATAGTTACTGTGCAGCCATCACATAGTTAGGACTGTGATACGGAATTGTTCACCAATGATTGTTCTATCATCTATCATGTGCCATGTTCAAAATGAGAAATACATAACAAATAGATTTTCAGTTTTTTTTCTTTAGTGGATATAGGACTGCTGTTCTTTTCCCATGGAGGGGAAGGACAGTCTGGTGGTGACTGGTAGAACATATTCCCTGATGGAATGAATCTGTCTCGCCTCATATAGTTCGTGGAATGAAGACACACGGTATACTGTGTATAAATATATATATATATATATATATATATATATATATATATATATATATATATATATATATATATATATATATATATATATATATATATATATATATATATTGTATCTAATAGCCAGAACGCAGTAATCGGCCTACAATGCAACGCTCGATTTGCCTAGTAAGCCAAGTTTTCCTGAATTTATATATTTTTCAATATTTTTTTTCTTATGAAATGTTAAAGCTGTCCATTTCATTATGTATGAGTTAAGTTTTTTTTAATTTGAGTTAAAACGAACGTAAATATACGAACGAACCTAACCTAACCTAACCTATCCTATCTTAACCTAACCTAAACTAACATACCTAAGTCAATAATTTATGTTCTTAATATAATACAATAACAATATTTCAAATAAACCAATTTCAAACAATATTTTGAAAAAAAAGAAAATCACTCGGCCTATTAGGCAAATCGGGCCTTGCATAGTAGGCCGATTACTGCGTTCTGGCTACTAGATACAACATATATAAATATATGCATACAAGCTCGCATCCTTGTATTATGTATCCCGTGCTCCTCGAAATTTTTTTAAATCATGTAAGCACAGATTATTTTTGTTTTAATCTCCTACGTGGATATTTTTGCATACATATACATACATACATACAGTACATACATACATACAGTACATACATACATACATACATACATACATACATACATACATACATACATACATACATACATACATACATACATACATACATACATACATACATACATTTATACTGAACATATAACACCTGTTATTTGGTCTGAGTATTCAATACTGAACTATTACTTATAAGACAGGTGTTCAAATCCCAACATACATGTTTATATATAGACACAAATATTCACTAAATATTTTTCTTATGCAATGTGCAGAACTTATTAAAATCTACATGTTTCTACTTGAATTGTAGTTTAACATGTCAAAAATTGTATATTAAAGGCCATTTATGAGAAATCTATTTAAATTATTTATGATCAAAATGATCACTGATTGGGCAAAAGTAAGGCTTGTGTAGAATACACAGAGATAATTTTTTGAAACTGGAATATTTCTTTTATATTAAGTTACACTAAAAAGACATGGTATATAAGCAGAGTATTTATCATTCTCGATAGATATTGCTCTCAAATAACTTATTACAAAAATCATGCTTTGTTCTTCATTGTAATACTATGCTTTAATATAAATTGTTCAGATACTGTATTTCTCTTACATTATAGTATTTTCT